TGTAAAACACTACGTCGCAAGTGGGGGGGGGGGGGGGGTATTTGCTTGGGGACCAGGTGTGCTTGCACCGGTGTTGCATAGTAAGGCTGGTTTGTGTGGGGCGCCAGGGATGCCAAATGGGCTGGCGCCGCTGTCGTGTGGTGCATCGATTGAACGAAGGCGGAGTACTGCGGCGACTTTTGCGTCAGTAGTGGTGCTTTATAGACGTGAGGGCCTGTGTACGCATTACCCGCCTATAGCCGCCGATTCCTGCCCTTACGACGTGACCTATATTGTACTGGGGGTATCAGAAGGACAACTATACTTGCTTGAAAACTGGGTGGATACAGTTCCCTTCCCATCATTGTGTTGATTATGGCTCGTAACGAGGGCTCAGCAGTAGGGTTTTCACAGATGGCTGAAAGAGAGTTGTCCAGCTGCAGCCGTATACAAGTAGCGGGTATAAGCAAGCCCAGGACGCAGATGCGCTTGCTCGGGGCTGGTCTGGTGGGATCTACGAGGCGCTGCCCACTGCGGACGCTTAACTGTAGACGCAATCATAGATCGCCTTCAGGAAAATCCCCACACCTAATAACCCGCCTTCCAGCGACAGTCTCAGGCAGTTCATCTCGAACGAAGCCGCGTTCTTTACCGGTACGTCTATCACGCCGATGGTCAAGTGGTGAGTAGCGCGTTCCTGGCCTCGCCCTCTTCGAAGCCGGATCTCTTAAGCCTGTCACGAGAACTACCTGAACTGCTGGTCACTTCTGTCTTTCAAAGAAAAAAATGTACGATCGCAGTAAATGTTCGTTTAGACTGGCCCAGGATTGTTCCCAGGCGCTAGCAAGATACGTCGTCTCCTGCAACCTTTGTCAGCGCCGAAAGCTTCCGACATCACCTCAATGTGGAGAGCTTCAACCACTTCCATGCTCGTTCGCACCATTCAAAGTCGTTGGCGTTGATCTATATGGTCCCCTTCCCACAACTCCCAGTGGTCATTGATAGTGACAGCTGTCGAGCACTTGACGCGTTACCCTGAAACGTCCTGAGTGAATTCGGCCTCCGCTTGTGACGTGGCTACATTTATGCTTGGAGCCTCGATCCTGCGTCACGGTGTTCCTCGTGTCTTCCTGAGTGACCGTGGAAAAGCTTTCCTTTCACAAAATATGGAGGAATTGCTCAGATCTTCCAGAACCAGCCACAAGACAACCACGAGGTGTCACCGCCGAACCAACGGGCCGACTGAGCGACTTCATCGCACTCTCTCTGACATGATAGCCATGCACTTTGAGCAATACTACACCAACTGGGATGTAATTTCGCCGTTTGTAGCGTTCGCATGCAATAACACCCTACAAAGCACAACTGGCTGCTTGCCGTTCTACCTTGTCTACGGACGATTGCCATCTTCTTTTCTTGACGTCTCGTTTTGGACCTCTCCGGTTACACCATCTGCATCCTCCTGTGACCAATATGTGTCCCAACTGCAGCATTGTCGCCTGCTCACCAGGCGCAACACTGAGACGAGGCTCAAGCCGGTAAGAATCTGCATGACGCATCCCACACCACTGGGATCTTCCGCCCCGGTGATGAAGTGCTACTCCGGAGAACAGTTCGCACTCCTGGCTTGTGCAGCAAATTTCAGTTTTGGTTACTCGGCCCATCACAGTACTAGAGTAGACCTCGCCCGTTAATTATCGCGTTGAACCTGTGATCGCTCCAAGTTACCAGTAGTCGTGCAACGCAAGAGGTAAAATAATTAGTATATAAAACTTACATTCACCCTATTTGTCCTACGTGGTAAGACAGCCATTACCAAGAAAATTATTGATAAACTAGAAAACCACAAAGAAAATCTCTTCAAATTATCTTTCGCTCGTATAATCGTTTTACGTCCGTTAGTGCTTTGCTTCAGACGGCGAACTTGGAAACGTCACACCTACGGCGGTCGCAAAAGATTGATATGTCTACAGGGCTAGTCAAAAGTTCCCAGGCCACTATCTCATGTATTTATATGTGGCGTGGCCCTGGGACCTTTTGATCCCCTTTTACGTGCTCTGTCATGATAGGGTTGTCATTTAATCAAGTGCGTAGATAGAAAATTCTGTGCTGGCGACCCAGGCTGGCAGACACTCAAAAAGAACTACAGGAATTTTCTTGTAGAACCAATTCATATTTGATCGTCTCGCTGGGGATGTTGTAAATGCGGCCACAGTAACTTCACTCTTAGTTTGGCTGAAGAATCTTTAGCATGTGCCATAGTTTTACTCAGTTCTGCGACGTTGGCACGATTTTTCTATATATTGTTTTCATTTCATACTTGGATGTATTCATATGTGTAGTGTGGGCACTTACAACACGCTTCTTCATCACCTGTACGTAACCATCACTGCATACTGTTCTTCATCTCCATCGTTAGTGGATATAGCTCTTCAGTCTTCTGTGCCTCGGAGGTGGCTACTTTGGCCACGTCTTCCTGGTCTAATACAGGCGTGTAAAACACTACGTCGCAAGTGGGGGAGGTGTTGGGTATTTGCTCTGGGGACCAGGTGTGCTCGCACCGGTGTTGCATAGTAAGGCTGGTTTTGTGTGGTGGGTGCCAGGGATGCCAAATGGGCTGGCGCCGCTGTCGGTGGCATCGATTGAACGAAGGCTGGAGTAACTGCGGCGACTTTTGCGTCAATTAGTGGTGCTTTAGAGACGTGAGGGCCTGTGTACGCATTACCCGTCATAGCCGCCGATTCCTCCTTTACGACGTGACCTAATATTGTACTGGGGGTATCAGAAGGAAACTAACTTGCTTGAAAACTGAGTGGATGCAGTTCCTCTCCCATCATTGTGTTGATTATGGCTCGTAACGAGGGCTCAGCAGTAGAGTTTTCACAGATGGCTGAAAGAGAGTTGTCCAGCTGCAGCGTATACAAGTGCGGTATAAAGCACCAGGACGCAGATGCGCTTTCTCGCTGGTCATTTTCTACGGCGCTGCCCACTGCTGACGCTTACTGTAGACGCATCATAGATCGCCTTCAGGAAAATCCCCACCGCCTAATACCCGCCTTCCACGACAGCTCAGGCAGTTCAATCTCGACAGCCGCGTTCTTTACCGGTACGTCTATCACCCGGATGGTCAATGGTGAGTACTCGTTCCGCCTCGCCCTCTTCAAGCCGATACTCTTAAGGCCTGTCACGAAGACCTACCTGACTGCTGGTCACTTCTGTTTTTAAAAAAAACGTACGATCGCATTAAATGTCGTTTACACTGGCCAGGGATGTTCACCGGCGCAGCAAAATACGTCGCCTTCTGCAACCTTTGTCGGCGCCGAAGGCTTCCGACATCACCTCAATACGGAGAGCTCCAACCACTTTCATGCTCGTTGGCACCATTCAAAGTAGTTGGCGTTGATCTATATGGTCCCCTTCCGAAAACTCCCAGTGGCCATTGATAGTGACAGCTGTCGAGCACTTGACGTGTTACCCTGAAACGTCCTGAGTGACTTCAGCCTCCGCTTGTGACGTGGCTACATTTACGCTTGGAGCCTCGATCCTGCGTCACAATCCTGCGTCACGGAGTTTCGGTCCTGCGTCACAAACTGTGGAGGAATCGCTCAGATCTTCCGGCACCAGCCACAAGACAACCTCGAGCTGTCACCGCCGAACCAACGGGCCGACTGAGCGACTTCATCGCACTCTTTCCGACATGATAGCCATGCACACTGAGCAATACAACACCAACTGGGATGTAACTTCATCGTTCGTAGCGTTTGCATGTAATACCACCCTACAAAGCACAACTGGCTACTCTCCGTTCTACATTGTCTACGGACGATTGCCATCTTCCTTTCTTGACGTCTCGTTTTGGACCTCTCCTGTTACACCATCTGTATCCTCCTGTGACCAATATGTGTCCCAACTGCAGCATTGTCGCCTGCTCGCCCGATGCAACACTGAGACGAGACTACAAGCCGGTAAGAATCGCATGACGCATCCCACACCACTGGGATCTTCCGCCCCGGTAATGAGGTGCTATTCCTGACAACAGTTCGCACTCCTGGCTTGTGCGACAAATTTCAGTTTCGGTTACTCGGCCCATCACAGTCTTAGAGCAGACCTCGCCCGTTAATTATCGCGTTGAACCTGTCATCGCTCCAAATTACCAGCACTGTCATGGTACCGAGATAGTGCATGTCTCTTGTATGAAGCCTGTCGCAAAGCGTTCTCCGCATCTATAGGTTGTAGCCAGGATGGCCGCTCTCATAAAAAGGAAATTAGTGTGGGCACTTACAACACGCTTTTTCATCACCTGTACATAACCATCATTACATAGTGTTCTTCATCGTTATTGTATGTAGCTCTTGAGTCTGTTCTGTACCTCAGAAGTGGCTGTTTTGGCCACATCGTTTAGACCTAATAAAGGTGTGCAAAGCACTACGTAGCAGTATTATATTATTACAAGTCATGGGCTGTAATATTTGTTTGTTATAATAAATTTTGTTGTGATCAAACTGTGCGTTGGCGATATTCTCTGTGGGTAATGTGTTGTTAAAATGTTCAGTCGTGCCATATTTATGTGTTACCCACTCCTGTTGATAACTTCATTGTGAAGTCAGGAGGCACCATGTTAATGAAATAAATAAACACACTAAACACACTTTTGCCACCTATGCGGGTGGCATTCTGATTATGCACTGCCACCAAATCAGCCGAGTTCAAACAGTTCACTTCTAGTCTCGTAGGTCTCTACACGTGATGTAGGGGGCCACGGTTGTTTTTGCATGACCACTTGTGGTGACGGATGAACCACGACTTAAGAAGCTTTGTCTTCCCCCACCTTTATTTCTGGACAATGGGGCACGCCTTCGATTTCAGTGATGCGACGACGCTTGCTCGGGAACAAAGGTGAGGGAAGAGAAACCTTCTAGGCTCGTCGCTCTCCATGTCCTTTACACCCCCGTTTCTCTGCTCTTCTTAGTATACATTTACCAATTGAGCTAGGATGAGTAAAAAAAAAGAACTTTATTTACCATGGAGGCCCCCGGCTGGCAACAGCGTGGTCAACAGCGGCAGAACGTTGATGATGACATCATGAGGAATGTGTTTGAAGATCCCTTCGGCAGCGCACTGGGAGTGACACATAGGGACAATTGTAACAGCAGCCATTGATTTAACCCTGCTACTGAGGGACATTTAAAACGTGCCGCTCCTTTAGGGCCAAATAAATAATTTCGCTGGTGTATTGCTTTTGTATCAACTTTTCAGTAATCGGCCTTTGGAAACACGACTCATGAATCTTCGCTGTGCTGCGCAAAGAAAATAAATATGTACAAAAGAAGCACGACAAATCGCATACCTCGATCGAGATATTCTCCGAGAGCAAGTTGCACAACCTTGCACATAAATAATCTGGGACTACAGCGTTACTTCAAAGGTCTTTATGATGATGGTAAATGAGAAAAATAAACAGAAAATGAACACCAGAAAAATTCGTGTAAACCAATAAGCTACGTCAAATATTAATAGCCACTCACTTGCGTTATCTTCATTGCAGCACCTTTGAGGCCCTGTAAATAGTGCAGCACTGGCTTATCATTAGGCTTCATTCGTAATTGACGTAACAAAAACAATTGCTGAGCCGTCTGTTATAGGGTGACGTGTAAAGAAGTAAGGCACTCAAAGCAGACAAAAATGACAAGTAACACAAACAGGGGACTCACTTTAGACCAAAAGGGCAGGTGCAAGCAACAGACGTGCCCAAGGAGGTTGAAACTTCCTCGGAGGTGCCATCCGGGCTTGCGCGAGTGAACGAGCTTTCCCTTACAATGTTTCAGTTCACCCGGATCAAGGCTCAGTGACTAATACACCAGGGAATTCCACTGAGCAGCTGCTCTGGTGACAGTTCGCGTGTTCACTGCTCCTGGTTTCTCTAATTGAGATCTATGAGAAGGCATATGCTTATTTTCAAAAACGATGCTGCGATGTCATGTTGGACTCGTTGAACTTGATTATCCGCATTGCCTTAAGGCCTGCCTCGGCTTTAGGTTGCGAAAGGTGTATACACATCGCGAACTTTTTGCTTCGGGTCCTTTCAGCCGAATCAAGCACATTATTAAAGAAAAGAGAAGTTGGGTGTGATACTGCTGTGAAGCCTGATGAAAATTATTCATTGCGTATAACCTGATCCTAATGTCAGTATAATTTCTAGTTATAGATCCGTACATTCTGCCTCCATGATTTTATCCGAAATCTGCGCCGTCGATGAGACTGAATACTTTCTATGTTACTGCCCGGCATACACAAACTAGAGGCTTCACTTGCGCAGTCGTAAATCGACTGCGCAGAAGTGATTTCATTGCCGAGAAGCAAATGGGATCATGACTCTGCCCATCTCGATTCTGGTAGGCGACAAAAGCGTCGTTGCGTTTCCTCAAATACAACAGCCTGTTTTATCGTTTGTGATGGGAAACGTGCAACTGTTACGCGTCGGCCCAGTCAGTGACTTTTTTCTCCTCCAATATAGCTTTCCTTCCCTCTCTCCCATTCCCCAGTACAGGGTAGCCTATTGTAGCTCAGCTCTGGTTAACCTCCCCGCCTTTCTCCCCATTCTTTCTCTCTCTCTAGCGCGCTTCCGTAATGTATTGTGCATCCCTAAAAGCCAGCTATCTCGTACGTGGTTTACCGTCTGCTTAACGCCTTCATTCACATGTATTTACATAATTTTGACATCCATCTTGGTGTTTTACGTAGCTGAAGTCATTGTCTTTTAAAGAAAGGTCGCAGGTTCTTATAACGGACTATACCTTAACCATTGCAATAAATTGACACCTATTTAGTATTCATCAGCTACATGTCTTCTCAAACCATTTTAACGTCGCCGTTTCAGAAGTTGCATTCATGTGTTTTGTACGTAGAAACATGTTTCCTGTTCATCGCTATAGATACGACTGCAATACTTATGCTTGGATTATATGCAATATATGAGTACACTATAGCGTTCACTATATAGGCCAACAACATTCCTCTATACCAGGCGTCGAGAACCTGCGGTCCACGACACGACGTTAGAACCTCCTCTCGTCCGAACAACAAATGGGCATCTCCACGATTTTCCCTGTCTGTCGGATAGCTACCTTGATGTACGTATTTTCAAGTTGGCTATATGATTGTGTAGCACGATAAGTCGCTCTGAAAGAGCTCGTTGTTGCCAGTATCCTATGTTTATAATGGTGACCTTGCAATGCGTGCTGCAAATAAACATCATGTCATGCTAGTTTAATCGACCATTATTGTAGATTCGACTAATATTTTCTATGAGTGCAGCGATCCTGCCCCCCTCCCCCAAACCTCTTTTTAAATTGCCCCGTGGCCGCGAGAGTCCGCTTCATGAAACTTTGCCCTCCACCTCAAAAGGTTGTCGACCTGTGCCCTATAATCTGTTACAAGTTCAGAAGTCATTTCCTCCTCAAAGGCGGATTCACACAAGCCAGCACCAATGGACGTGTGTTCGAGGCTGAAGTCTTGAGCCGAACGGTTCTTTGCTCCAAAGGTAAAGAACGTTGCCAATAGCAAGAGCGGGACTATTTTTTTAGTGGCTGAGGTGATCGGCTTCCACGCTTAGGACGTCTAAGAGAGGCTTGCCCTAACGTCTTAAGTTGTACCAGACTATTGAAAATTATTTGCTTAGCATTGATGTAGTCGGTGGGCTGCCTCTAAAACCGAAACCAGCGAAGTCTTAGGGAGAAGTGGAGCAGAGCAGTGGCAGCTGATAACAAGAACGTTGGTTTACATTATTTGCATATTACTATATATTATTGTACTAATATTGTAGCATGTTGCAACAAGATTTATGGCAGCGTGTTTTGCATGATGGCAACTTCAGAACTAAGCGCATACGGAAGCATGTCTAGAGTGCCTCGGCGCTCGCGTTTATGCCATGACCTTCCCGAAAATATCTGCAAGAAAAAAAAATGAGTCCAGGACAGTGCAATGGAATGGTCGTCGTCATCTTTACACCCCAAATGGGAAGGCCAAACACCGCCTCCTTCCCAATCTAGGAAAAAAAGATAAGATGTGCGCCCTGTTCGTCCAGTGTGGCGTTTGTAGGCCCGTGTGCTCAGATTTGGGTGCACGTTAAAGAACCCCAGGTGGTCTAAATTTCCGGAGCCCTCCACTACGGCGTCTCTCATAATCATATAGTGGTTTTGGGACGTTAAACCCCACATATCAATCAATCATCAATCAATCAACCAGCGTGGCGAGAGATAGAACACAAGATACAATGGGATAATACGGCACGGCACAGCACAGTTCAATGCCCTGTTCGTGGTGCCCCACGTGCAGACCAGCTGTGTAGTCGGATGCAGTGTAGACTCATCGATAACGGCTGCAGTGCCTGGTAGGCCACGATGACAGAAAGGTGTCGCGTTGTGTAAGAAGCGTAGCCGAAGACGGGTACCGAGCTCTTAACAATTTGTTCGGCACGTCTGGTAGCACGTTGAACAAAGCAAGCCACTTCGTCTGCCTGCAGCTCCTTCTAAGCTACTAGTCGGTCAGGCGTATCCGCAAATTTTTTTCGACGTGAGAAGCCGATGGCCCTGAAGAATTTGAAGTATGACTGTCGTGTTGTCACCGCTTCTGGTTAACGTCGGTGAGCTTTGACATAGAACAAATCAGGGTAGACAGTCGAAATCATCCCACGCGTATAAGCGGCGCCAAGACATGGAGGCCGATCATAAAAGCTTCAAGTGCTCGCTACTTTTTATCTAAATTCAGTCACCTTCTTGCTCAATTTTCTTGCTCAGTCACCTTTTTGCTCAAGCAGTTGCCATCATTTCTTGATAAATGAACAATGGTGGCACCAAAGCAGTGCCTACTTTTGCAATTGCGCCAGTTAGCTCTATGACATTCATGAGAGCCATTTTCTCAGCAGAGTTATGGGGCTGAAAAAATGTCATGCCTTCGTGGCTATTCGCACACTTTCCGTATTCAAATTTTGTACATAGCAAGACAGTGACTAACGTTTGTGCGTGGAATATCATTTCAACATTTTGCATATAGAAAACCAGCCCTGCTCTGGTGGCGCGTCGAAAACGCACATGTGGCGCCCCCAAACGAGTTGTCTGAAAAAAAAGTCAGGCCTGCGTGGAAGCCCTAGCACAGTCACAGCGAAAGCTAGAAGAGCGGCCTTTTAGAGCCTTTTCTAAAACATTCACTGGGCAACTACTGCAAGCACACTTGCTTAATACCTACTAGGTAATTATTATTATATTTGTTCGGGTAGTAGGCCGGCATTCGCTATGCTATTTTTTGTCATTCTTCTGAGAAGCGTGGCATCCGCTAAACACTTGCAAGGAATTTTCTGCCAATGGTTCATGCAGTGGCTGACGACGATGAGGAATCATGGCTGAACTGGGTATACGCCACAGTTAAGAGGGAAACAAGAACGAGCTTTTGTGAGGGGTAGGAGCATTGGACCGCCCACTCGTTACGCTATTCGCATTATGTGACGACTGGTTATTCTTTCGCTGATTTAAAACGCTATATAAGTCGTTTTAACGCAATTGCTTTCCCGACATCAAGCCTGCCTAAGGCAAGTTTGACAACAAGTTACAAGAGCCGGCGTACGCAGTGGTGGAATACAGGGCTGGCATTCAGCGTACCTGGGCTCGAGGCCCACTGTGTTATTGGTGCTTTGTGGTTACGAATACCGGTGGCGGCGATGAACAACTGCGCGTGACCGGAGTTGTGATCTCATAACAGCTTTCCTTTTAAAAGTTCAAGCAGGACAGGGCCAACGGGCCACATTTACATGCACACGGAACGTTGCATGACATGTTATCGGTTGTGTCTACTTTCGTTTACACGCATTGTCGAAGGCAACATACTAGGAGCTGCGAATGAAGAGTAGGTTGGTGTGAGAAATGAGCAGTGATGCTTCAACATGCCGTGTTCGCGCAGGGGTACTTTTGCAACAGAGCGCTGCTGAAATGATGCAAGCTCTGCACGGAAAATTATGTTTACGGTGTGGAGGAAACTGTGTGGCAGCAACTCTCATCCCAATATTGACAGCCAAATTGTCAACCAAACATCCCGATGTTGACAACCAAACCTGACTGGTCAGTAAAGAAGCTCACGTAGAAATTTTTTTGAAATAGGCAAAAAGTGCATCCGTGCCATGGGCTGATAAGATATTGTGTGCACAACAATTGAGGAATCGCGTTGCCTGCGCAGTGTTTTCAGTATATGCTTCTCGATAGTATGTCTATAACTCCGCGCGTAGGCCCCGCCACGGTGGTATAGTCGCTAAGGTACTCAGATGCTGACCCGCAGGTTGCAGGATCAAACACCGGAGGCGGTGACTTCAATTTTGATGCAGGAAAAGTTGATGTAGGCCCGTGTGCTCTGATTTGGGTGCGCGTTAAGGTACCCTAGGTAGTTAAAACTTCCGGAGCCCTCCACTACAGCGTCTCTCATAATCTTATGATGGATTTGGGACGTTAAAGCAGACATATCAATCAATCAACTGTGTACTTCGACGTTTGATGAAATAAATGCGTCATTTACA